ATCGCCGCCTGAATGGCTCTCCTACCGTCCACGTGGCGATTCACTACATTTCAGTTGGATCCCAAGCAGGGCTCTGCCACGCGGGTGGCCGAAGAAGGAAAAGGGGGATGTTCTGCCGACCGACCGCCTGAATGAACTTCCAACCGCCCACGCGGCGAGTCACCACATCGGGTGGGATCCCTAGCAGAGTTCTGCCACGCCAGTGGTTGAAAGAGGAAGAAGGGGGGGCGTTCCGCCAACTGGCCGGCCGCCCGAGCGCCCCCCAACCGGGCACGCGACGACTCGCCGCGCCCAGTGGGATCCCACGCAGAGCTCCGCCACGCCAGTGGATGAAGAAGGAAGGAGGGGATGACCCGCTAACCGACCGCCTGAGCGACCATCTAACCTTCCACGCGGCGATTCAAAACATCGGATTCGGCCCTGAACATGCTCTGCCACGCGAGTGGCCGCAGAAGAAGGATGGGGATGGTCCGCCAATCGGCCGCCTGCATAACCGCGCAACCGCCCACGCGAAGATTCCCAACATAGAGTAGGATCCCAAGCCGAGCTCTGTCACGCGAGTGGCTGAAGACGGAAGAGGGGGGGCGGCATGCTTATTGACTGCGCGAATGACCTTTGAACCTTCCACGCGACGGCCCACAACATCGAATTGGATCCTGAGCAGAACTTTACCACGCGAGTGGCTGAAGAAGGAAGAGGGGGGAGGTTCCGCTAATCGTTCGCCTGAATGACCTTTCAACCTACCACGTGACCCTTCACAACTTCGAGTTGGGTATTTGTCATCCCTGTGCCACGCGAGGGGGCGTCGTGCTTGCGACTGCCCGAGTGACCTTCCGACCTTCCGCGCGACGAATTACAACGTCGAGTTGGATCCTAAGCCGAGCTGCGCCACGCGGGCGACTGAACAAGAAAGAGGGAAGCGCTCGGCAAACCAGCCGCCTGAGGACTGCCCAACCACCTGCGCGACGATTCTCCACGTCGGGTTGGATTCAAAGCAAAGCTCTGGCACGCGAGTGGCCGAAGAAGGAAAAGGGGGATGCTCCGCCGACCGCCTGAATAAACTTCCAACCTGTCTAAGTGGCGATTCACAACATCGGGTTGGATCCCAGTCAAAGCTCTGCCACGCGAGTGGTTGAAGAAGGAAGAGGGGGATGCGCCGCCAATCGGCGGCCTGAATGGCATTCCAACCTTCCACGCGGCGATTCACCACGTCGAGTTGGATCCTAAGCAGAGCTCTGCCATGCGAGCGGCCGAAGAAGACGAGGGGGGGTGCCCCGCCAACCAGCCGCCCGAGCGCCTCCCCAGCCGTTCACGCGACGATTCGCAACATCGAGTTGGGCCTTAAGCAGAGTTCTGCCACGCGAGTGGCTGACGAAGGAAGAGGGGGATGCGCCGCCAATCGACCGCCTGAATGGCCTTCCAACCTTCCACCCGACAATTGCACAAGTGCGCATCAGATCCTAAGCACGGCTTTGCCACGCGAGTGGCTGAAGAAAGGAGAGGAGGGGATGTTCCGCCAAACAACCGCCTGCATGACCTTCCAATCGGCCACGCGACGACTCACAACGCCGAGCTCGATCCGAAGCAGTGCTCTGCCACGCGAGTGCCTGAAGAAGGAAGAGGGGGATGTTCCGCCAACCAGCCGCCCGAATGACCTGCCAACCGTCCACGTGACGACCCGCCACATCCGGTTGGATCTGAAGCGGAGCTCTGCCACGCGAGTGGTTGAAGAAGAAAGAGGGGGATATTCCGCCAACTGGCAGCCTGAATTACCCACCAACCTTCCACGTGGCGATTCAAAACATCGAGTTGGATACTGAGCAGAACTCTGCCACGCGAGTGGCTGGAGAAGGAAAACGAGGATGTTCCGCGAATCGACCGCGCGAGTGACCTTCCAGCATTTTTCGCGACGATTCACAACATCGAGTTGGATTATTGCCAGTGCTCTGCCACTCGAGCGGCTAGAGAATGAAGAGGCGGATGTTACGCTGGCCGGCTGCTTGAATAACCTCGAGCGGCTAGAAAGAAGAGGCGGATGTTACGCTGGCCGGCTGTTTGAATACCCGTCCAACATTCCACGTGACGGATCACCACATCGAGATCGGCCCAAAGCAGAGATCTGCCACGCGAGCGGTTGAAGAAGGAAGACGGGGATGTTCCGCCAATCGGCCGCTCGAATGGCCGTCCAACTTCGCACGTGACGATTCACAAATTCGCGTTGGATCTTGAGCGGAGCTCTGCCACGCGAGTGGCTGAAGAAGAAAGAGGGGGCACGATTTGCTGATCGACTGCATGAACAACCTTCCAACCATCCACATGACGAATCGCAACATCGAGTTGGATCCTCAGCATGGCTCTTCCACACCATTCACCCCGCGGCAACGCAAACACGCGACCTGTCCCAGGACGACCCCTGACGGCCCGACGGCCCCCTCACAGGCGCCCTCTTTGAAACAAATGATCGTAGATCTTGAAAGGCGGCACGCCGCACAACCAGAACCCCCCAGGGCCGACTCACGCACCCGCAATTCACGCACTGCCCATTCTAGGATTCACGCGTCGTCGGCTACCATCACTCCCAGCTCTCGACGGTCCGCGGACGACGACGACGACGTCGACGACGACGAGATTGACGACGACGACGCCGCCACCGCCGCCTTCCGCGCCGCTGCCCAGGCCGCCGAAGGGCCTCCAGAGGAGAACGTCCGCCGAAGGGACCTCCGAAGACCTCCGAGGGGGCTTCCCGAGGGGCCGCCGAGGGGCCGCCGAAGGGCCCCCGAGGGGACCGCCGAGAGCGACAGGGTGGTGTCCCTCTCTGGTTTTTCCGCTTTAGCTTCTGCAGCACCTGTGGTATTGTAGACGTCGTCCCTGGCCTATGCTGATGTAGCGGTGGAGGATGTTGAATTCGCTGATCTTGGTCTCAAATTGGTTGGTGTACCTTTCTATCTCGTTCTGGTGTGGTTTGGTGGCCGCCCGAGGCGCCCAGCTGGTGCCGTTCCTGCGCAGGTGCTACCGGCGCTTCGGCGTCGCGGGGCTGCTGCCGCGCGGCCAGAGCAGCGGCGGCCACAGGCGCTGCCTCTCCTGCTGCTGCGCCCGCGCTCACCCGAGGGCGGCCTCCTCCCTCTTCCTCCCCCTCCCCCTCCTCCTCCTGCTCCTCCTCCTCCTCCTGCTCCTCCTCCTCCTCCTCTTCCTCCTCCTGCTCCTCCTCCTCCTCCCCCTCCTCCTCCTCCTCCTGCTCCTCCTCCTGCTCCTCCTCCTCCTCTTCCTCCTCCTCCTCCTCCTCCTCCTCCTCCTCTCGTGCCCGAGCGCACGAGTTCACAGCATTCAGATTCAACCTATGTCACAAGTTGCGTGCTAAGCTCCAGCTTCAGCGGAGGCGTTCGGCATGGTTACCTTGTCAAGCCTGTCAAGTGAATCCCCCCAAGGTACCTGGAATCATAACCCTCCCCCTCCCCCTCCGAGCAGAGCAGCGTCGCCAGGCATTGCGTCCTCGAGTGAGTGGAGGAACCCCTGAAACGCATCGGTATCCAAGCTCTGCGGTGCACGCAAGTAGTCGGCTCCAGTTGACCGTTACAGGTCGGTCGTTGAAATGGGTACTTCTGGATTCCCAGATCCCAGTCTACTTCTAGCGCCTTCCTATTTCAAGAATCGATATGCTTTCGAGGGCCTGAACCCAACCTACTTCATCCGCCTTCCTACTTCATGTGTTTACCTACTTCTTCCGACCGACGTGTATGGACGTCGATGCAGGACGAGCAAGTTGGCTCTTCCTCCGACTCGTCGAGGTTGCCGCGTGCGAGCCTGAGCGCGGCCTTGGCATCTGCTGCCCGGTGCAGGGTGGCTGATTTCGGAGGGGAACATCGTCAGAGTCCTGAGTTTCGTGTCGATGCCATCGGCTCTGGTAGAATTTCAAGAGGCTACATGGGCATACTGATGATCACCATCATCGTGATCATCCTCATCCTCATCACAGTCGTCATCATCACCACCATCATCACCATTATCAGCAGCATCAGCATCAGCATCAGCATAATCACCACCACCACCACAATCATCGTCATCGTCATCATAAACACAATAAGCATCATCATCATCATCGTCATCCTCATCAGCATCATCATACGTTCCATCATCATCATCATCATCATCATCATCATCATCAGCATCATCATCATCATCATCATCATCATCATCATCATCATCATCATCATCATCATCATCATCATCATCATCATCATCTTCACCATCTTGAGTTCCGTTGTCATCCTCTTTGTCATCATCCTGGTCCTCCTCCAGATGGCCACATGGACAGCTGCTGCATCCTCGCCCGCCGTCACCCTCCTCCCCTCCTTCCCTCCAGCCCGACCAGATCACGCTCCCACCCCATTCCTCCTCCCGCCCTCTCCTCGCTGCACTCTGTCGAGAGGCATCTCCGGGCGATGGCCGACGCCCCTCGGCCATCCTTGATCCGCCAAGCCCTTCGCTGCACTGCTGCGCACGTGCGGAAGCGCAACGCGTGCCGTGTTCAAGACGTCCTTGCTGACACACTGCGTGTTGGTTCGGCACGTGTCGGCCCACCGTTTGGCGAGCGCATCGCGCCAGACATACGTTTCCAGTCTGCGTGTTGGGCTCTACGTCAACACGCTACGCGTTGCGTATTGCGTATCAGGGCAGCCGGGGTCACGTCTTCTCTTCCTTCCCGCTTGCGCTCGCCCCCCCCTGTCTTCCATCACCTCCCGCTTCGGTGCGGTGGATTAGGGGGACGACGACAAACCGACGACGACGACGATGACGACGACGACGATGACGACGACGACGACGACGACGACGACGACGACGACGACGACGACGGCAAGGACGACGAGGAGGAGTAGGAGGAGGAAGGAGGAGTGAGGAGGGAGGAGGGAGGAGGGAGCATGGAGGAGGGTGGAGGGAGGAGGGAGGAGGAAAGAGGAAGGAGGAAGGAGGAAGGAGGAAGGAGGAAGGAGGAAAGAGGGAGGGGGAGGAGGAGAAGGAGGAGGAGGAGGAGGAGGACGAGGACGAGGACGAGGAGGAGGAGGAGGAGGAGGAGGAGGGAGGAGGAGGAGGACGGGGGAGGAGGAGAGGAGGAGAGGCGGAGGAGGAGGAGGAGGAGGAGGAGGAGGAGGACGAGAGGAGGAGGAGGAGGAGGAGGAGGAGGAGGAGAAGGAGGAGGAGGAGGAGGAGGAGGAGGAGAGGGAGAAAAAAAAAAAAAAAAAAAAAAAAAAAAACGAACACAAAAAAAAACTCCTTCCCGCCCTCCTTGGCCCGAGAGGGCGGCGCACAGAGAGAGAGAGCCAGACCTCCGGCGGCCCGCCCCCTCCTGCTGCGCGCGGCACGCCCTCGGCTCCCGGCATCCCTCGGACGTGCGCGTTTTTGTTTTGTGGGTCACCGAGCGCATGACCCGTCACCGCGACGCGAGAATCGCCCGTCACGGTGACGCGGAGGTACGGCGCGGCCGCACCTCCGCGTTCACGGTCTTGGGGTGGCTGACTCGCAAATTGCCTGATCGCAAACGTCCGACAAGCACATGTCTGCTTCGATGCGATGTCTCGGGGACCCCCCGCGGCGGGCCCAGGCCATCTGCGAGTAGCTCCTTGGCGAGTGGTGGAACGCGCTCATCTGTTGTTGGGGGGGCGCGGACCATCGAGGAGCACTCTGGGCCACCTTGCGAAGAATTTCGTAGATGAAAAGACGCCATAAGCACAGACTCTTGACGCTCCGCGCGGATTTCTTGGATCCGCGCTGGGCCCCCTGGCGGCGCCTCCGGCGCCGCCCCTAGCGCAGATCCAAGAAGTCCGCGCGGAGCGCCAAAAAGTTTATGTTTGTGTCGTTTGTCTTCCTCTGAAATGCACTCACGAAGTCGAAAAATGAATGGAGAATGGACGCCCCAGCGATGGCCGGTATCGTTTCACCCATCCCCATCCCCAGCCCCATCCCCTCTCCGAGGCCCCCACCAGATCACCACCCCAGTCGGGATACGCCCCATCGAAGCCAGGAGGGAACGACCTGTATCCCCATCCAGGGGGGTACATCGGCCAGGGGGGCCCAGGCCACGCCACTGGGCATGGGGACCGGTGAAACGACACGCAGATGGCGAGCTGGAGAGGTCTGGGCCCCCTCCCCTGGGGCACACGGCGCCAGGGCTCTGCGTCCGGATGGCTGCCGACGGTGGAGGATCAAATGAAAGTCGGGCGTGTCCCCCTACAGGAGGAGCATTCAAAAACAGCCAACAGGTAGTCTGGGGACGATTTTCCCTAGTATCTCTAACTCTTGTTGAAGATTTCTTTGAGCATGTTTCATGTTTCGTCCAAAACCTGCCTGTAGGGGGACATGCCCGACCTAAGAAGACAAGTCGGCGGCCAGCCCGGGGGGCGGAAGTGAGCGGGGGCGGGCCTTCTCAGAAGGCTCAGAAGTCCTCCAGCCTTCTGAGAAGTTCTCCAAAGGCCGGAGGTCTTCTGAGAAGCCCCGCCGCCTTCTGAGAGGGCTTGCTCCTTCTCCCTCCCCCCCCCCTCTCTAGGCCTCCTGAATGGGGTCGGAGTAGATGGGGTCGGAGGATCGCGCCGCATCGCTGATGCATCGGCAATGCGGCTCGATGCGGAGCCCGATTTTCTCCCCGCCGATGAGCCGACGTCGGCGATGCGTCGCCGATGCATCGGCGATACGTTGGCGATGCGGCGCGGTTCTCCGACCCCATCTGTTCAGACCCCATCTAGGATTATGATGTTTCAACCTACTTTAGCCTTGACGACCAGACAGAATTTCGAGCACCAGAAAAGTACCCAAAAACTAAAGGATGTTCACGTGTCGGACCCTGGGAGACACTCGTCCGACACTCTTTCGACACTCGTCCGACACTTTTCCGGGTGCTCGAAATTATTTCTGGGATGTGGTCTTTAAGTACGATGGGAGCAACATAAATCTAGGAGACTTCTTGCCCTCGCTCGCCGCCGAAGGCTGCAGGATAAGCAGCCCTCCCCGGCGCAGACGCGCCCTCCTGCGCCACTGCCGGCGGCCTCCGCGCGTGGAGCGGGCCCCAAGTGTGTGTGTGTGTGAGTGTGTGAGTGAGTGAGTGTGTGTGAATGTGTGTGAATGTGTGTGAATGTGTGTGAATGTGTGTGTTGTGTGTTGTGTGTTGTGTGTTGTGTGTGTTGTGTGTGTTGTGTGTGTTGTGTGTGTTGTGTGTGTTGTGTGTGTTGTGTGTGTTGTGTGTGTGTGTGTGTTGTGTGTGTGTGTGTGTTGTGTGTTGTGTGTGTGTGTGTTGTGTGTGTTGTGTGTGTTGTGTGTGTGGTGTGTGTTGTGTGTGTGGTGTGTGTGGTGTGTGTGGTGTGTGTGGTGTGTGTTGTGTGTGTTGTGTGTGTTGTGTGTGTTGTGTGTGTTGTGTGTGTTGTGTGTTGTGTGTGTTGTGTGTGTTGTGTGTTGTGCGTGTTGTGCGTGTTGTGTGTGTTGTGTGTGTTGTGTGTGTTGTGTGTGTTGTGTGTG